ATGAAATATCAGTGGTGCTGCAGCCCCCATAATTCTATTTGATAGTCAAACCCAGCAAGCATTCACTGAAGAGCTGTGGGCCAATGCACACAGCATCCAGCTGCACCACTATGAAGGTAATATATGAGGTGTAACACATGATTCACAGGGTAAACTCAGCTACCAGCACACAACCACTGAAGAAGCTGTAGAAGATCTGAGATGAAGGAGCAAACAGATAGTAGAGGAGAGAAGAAGAGTTTGTTTGCATGCATAAATGGCTGAAAAGATTTGGGGAATAAAGCATGTTATTTTGGAGAAGAATCCTGCAACTTGTTTAATTTTCAGTGACTTGTAGTATCATGTTAATACGAATATTTAAATCTTCGCTTTTGTACAACTTCCTCAAAACAAACAGTGATAAAACTGAGGTTCTCCTTGTAGGTGCTAAATCTACTTTGGCTAAACCGTATAGTTTCTTTTCTCTCTAACGACTGACAACTCCAAAGTCCGTGCGTCCCCTCAGGTTAAGAGTCTGCGTGTCATCCTGAACAGAACACTGTCCTCTGAGGCCCACACCAATGATGTTACTCAGTCTGCATACTTTCATCCAGTAATATTAATCATCTTCGCCTGTCACTGACACCTCAGAGTGCTGCTATCCTCATTCACTCTTTGGTTACATCTCGTTTAGATTATTGCAGCTCTGTCCTCTTTGATCTTCATAAACTGTAACTGGTCCACAATTCAGCCGCACATATCACTCCTGTTCTCCAGCAGCTTCACTGGCTTCCCGTTAGATATCACATCGATTTCAAGATTCTGCTTGTCACCTTTATTCTCTACCCCATGACAGTAAAGGCGGCTCAGGGGGTCGAGTGGGTCGTACACTAATCAGAAGATCAGCATTCAATCCCTGGCTCCTTGAGTCTGCATGTCGAAGTTTCCTTGAGCAAGATACTGAACCCCAATTTGCTCCCGATGGCTGTTCCATCAGTGTGTGAGTGTGTTAAAAACAGGGATGCGCACGATTAGACGTCTAAACGATTAAACGTCCACCACCTCGCTAGTCGGCACCACAAATATTAGTCGGTTAAACCAATTAGTGTTTTATTCATGTACAAGGCCGCTTAACTGTCATGCAGCCGCCATGGTAGTTGAAGATTGTGATTAAAGGCTTCAAAGGGCTCTTAAAGGAATGGCCACTTTAGAATGAAAATACAGACAGTACTGACTGACCCTCATGCCCACAAGAAGTCCAGTGTAGTTTTTTAATCCACAAAACTCATTCGGGTATCGGAGGATAACAGCTAGCCGAATTTTCCCATACACTTGAAGTGCATGGAACCCACGTCCAAAATCATTTTGAAAATGTAATAAATCTCCGCTAATGCATTTCAAAAACATCAGAACAGCTCATCCGTCGTAATCCAAGTGCCCTGAAGCCACAGCATGCAAAATTGACTTGAAAAGACGCAATTTACTCCACTTTTATAGCATCATTTCTCACCGTGGTCAGTTAGCCTGCAGGCGTGCTGTGTTTACACGGCAACTCGCGCGAGACTCGAGAACGTTCAGAGACGTTCTTGTTCTCAAGTCTCGCAAGTTGCAGGCTAACTGACTGACTTCTTGTTGGCATGAGGGTGAGTAAGTACTGTCTGTATTTTCATTCTAAAGTGGCCATTTCCTTTAATGCACACAATATTTTTTGGGAGAATGTTTCAAATACTTAACAATAGGTTGTGCTAAATTTTGACATTGTTTTTTTTTTTTCCTTTTTTAGACTGGTCGACAAGTAATGAAAATTTTCATTTAGTCGACAGAGAAATTAGTCGCCAGGAACATCCCTGGTTAAAAACTGAGTAGCAGGTGGCACCTTGTACAGTAGCCTCAGCCTCCAGTGTATGAATGTGTGAGAAATGGGTGAGTGTGACTCGTAGCGTAGAAGCGCTTTGAGTGGTTGGAAGACTAGAAAGGCGCTATACAAGTCCAGGTCCATTTACTATTCACAATATTGACTCCTTTTCTATTTTCAAATCCTGTCTGAAAACACAACATTTCAAGCTGGCACAGTCGGTCTGATTTAATGGTGATTGATTGATTGAATGGTTGACTTTATAATCATGATTTCATAACTAACATTTATAACTATGATTTTTTTTTGTGTGGTAATTTCATTAACTTTTATTGTGTATTACTGAATTGTTTGACTTTGTGATCTGTGGATACGTTGCTGCTTGTTTCTAAATATCTTGTAAGGTGTCTTTGAGTGCTCTGAAAGGCGTCTATGAATAAAATGCATTATTATTATTATTAATATTACAACTAATTCTGCTACCATACAGCTGGAAGTTAGGTAAAGTAAATGACAACACTTGGAGGACAGACTGAAAATAGATGGACAGCTGACATAAAGCTGTGGAGAAATGTTAATAACTTTACATTATATTCTTCACTGCAGACACCACTGCCTTCTCTACATTTCACCTTTAAGCATTTAGATGCATTTATAGTCAGGTTTTAAGTCCAACCCTAACGAGTCACACTCGTTTAACCAGTAACGTTATTCAGTTATTATCGCTCACAGTAAACACAGGAGCCAATTGGTAGGCACTGCTAACTTTCTTCTGTCTTATATTTAACTGTTTAATTCTATATTCCGCTCAGTTTATCGTGAACCAGAGCTCTGACAGCTCAACACAACACACACCGCTCATCAAACACGTTTTGTCATTCTGACTGTAGCATTAGATGCTAACCGGGCTAATGTAGCTAGCTTGTTTGACAGGCCGCTCGGAGCCGTTAACCCCCCAAAAACAAATTACCAGACACGGTAACCCTCCTAAAACACACACACGGGTAAAACTATCTGCTGACCCTCTTTAGGTGTCGTTACACACCCGCTGTGTTGGAGAATAACAGTACAATTAACGCTTCTGCACCGACCTGCTCAACTTCGTCCGCCATTAGTTTGAGTCTGCGTCCTGTCGTCTGACCGGTGCGGGGGTTGCCAGGTCCGTAAAAAGCACACGTTTTAGAAAGAGGTGCAGAGCGTGGGCTGGCAGTTTGGTTTGCAAGTAATTTGTCAGTTTAGTCTGATGAAAAGTGTGTGTCAGTGTTACTTTTGAAATGTAATGGATTACAGATTACAAGTTACCCTATTAAAAATGTGATAAGTATTGCAGCCATTTTGATTACTTCATCAAAGTAATGTAGCGCATTACATATGATTTTTTAAAATTACATTTCTGAACAAAAATGTTTTAAACTGGGCGATAAAGCTGTTTTATTCTACATTTAAACTATTTACTGTAAAGTATAAATGCAAATGCCACCTTTTGTTATCATCAGAGGCCCCCACCGATACCATATTATCACGATACTTGGGTCACAATGCAATATTATTGCCAAATGCTTATCATTGTGATAGCATATATTGTGATACACTGTGATGTATTACCGTTTTGAAACTGAAAATTAAAGACAAACTTCATCTTAGTGCATAAAAAACATTTTTTTTCATAATATGATAATGTTTTCAGTCTGTTCATCTCACGTCTATCATTTTTATTGCAGCATCATGTATCTAGTGGACTGAAAAACAAACTGATTACATTATTCTAGTTTTTATTCTAGGCTACCAAAAGTTTAAATTGTATTTGCAACAGTAATTTATATTATTAATAATTTATATAATAAAACTGGCATCTGTATAGCGATATACTATTGGCACACAAAGCGTTACTGTGGGGGAGGTAATCACTTCACTGGGGTCATCAGGTGGGCACCCTCCTTCATTGGTGTTTCACTGATAAACCCATGACACCCCCAGAGGGCTCAACGGTGACACCAGTTGCCTCCTTTGCTTCTACCCCTCATGTTGGACATCTTCCAGACCAGTTGGGGTCCTTCCTCTTCACCCAGAGCCAATTGCTGCTTCGCTCGGCAGCCTCTGATAGCGACTTGAAGGCTTGTCGGAAGGCCTGTCCTCGTATCCCCACACTCTTCAGAAGCCTGGTTGATGATGTGGCTACAAACCTTATACAGGGAGCACCTGGGTACGCCAGCCAACCAACTGCTTATTCGGTCCACTAGATACATTTTGCTGCAACACAAAAAAATGGCTGAGGTGAGATGAACAGAATGAAATAATAAACGGATGTTGACTTAATTCAGCGTCTGCAGCCTTTGAAGGACGCGTCCTTTGAAGACTGCATCAGCCAAACCGAACGGTCTCTGAAATGGGGCGGTCTGGTCTGTGGAGGATTTCCTGGGTGCATCACCAGTTGTTCTCGCCCCGACCCGTTGCCGTTAGTTACCTAGCAACCAGCTGCTCTTAACAAAAGAAAGAGTAAGCTAGTAAGTTTGTTCGCACTTAATCATGAACCCAGAGATTGTTATTATATAGTTATATTTCGTCACTACTTGAGGAGATAATTCACCAACGGAGACATTTCAGGCTCTAGGACCGTTTTCAGGTAAACTTATTAAATTTGATTGTTTAAGCCGTGTGCTTTTAGCTCATAGTAATATCAACAACAGTTAGCTAGTTAACAACTGTTAGTCAACTTAACTTAATATATAGTCGTCACTGGTGCGCAATGCATCTTGGGATAGGCTGTGCCATGAAAGATTCATCTGTTGCATCCATCACATTCTGGGAGAGAAGGCCGCATTTTAAGGAGCCTTCAAAATTGGACAGCTTTGTAAGCAACAAAGTGACACCAAAGGCTGCGGCTCCTGAATTGAGTCACAGCTATAGTTTTCCTTTGGGGACATAATTTAGAATTGAAAAAAGGCAGTAAATCACAAAATATTTTATCACAATACTCAGCATATCGCAACATATTTAAAATCACAATAATACTATATCATGACTTAAATATCGTGATAATATCATAAAGTGAATCCCACCCCTAGTATTTGTACTGCTACCTGAGTAAAGAATCTGAATACGTTTTCCAGTGTGCAGGGGGATAAACAGCAAACCTGGCAACGCGCCGGTAACGCTAAGTACCACTCTCCTCTCTTTCTCTTTCCAGACCTTTCCATCCTCCATGTCGGCACAAAGCGACACTAACACTCCAGCTGCTCTGAGGTAGGTGATAAATACCACCTGAACATGTATGTTTTGTTGCCAGTTTAGACTCATTGTCATTACGTCATAAAACATAGACCACAGTCGCACAGTGTGTGTTGTGTTACTGGAGCGACTGTGGAGCAACAACTGAAGTTTGCAGCGTCACATTTAAACAGCAGGACGATCACGTTACACGGTCAGAGGTGAGTTCAGGTTCAAACGACTGTTAGCGACTAAAATACACGACATTAATATCCAGAGGGTGAATAACAGTTATATTACGTCAGCTATGACACTGACACCTATTACCGCTGGCTCGTGCATGTGAGAAGAAAACTGCAACATGAGCGGTGTAAATAAAAACGCTGACATCATTTAGGTGGATTTTTACAGTGTCACATTCATGTCTGCGATTTAATCTGAAAATAAGTAGGTTAATGTCGAGGCATTGTGAGTGCGCTCCCACTGTGTTTCTGCCACGTATGCACGTGTCCTGCAGCAGAGTGGAAAGTTGAAGAAGACGCCAGAGACAATAAAACAATAACCCCATAAGAATATTTGACACTGTCCCTTCTGCTGTGTGGAGTTTTAGTTTGGGCTGAATGTTGTTAAAACTGTTTGAGGTGACTTATTATTTTTGTTTTATTCTAACATGCACATCTCTGCTACACATGAGCAGATATTGATTTTTCTAGAAGTTACCTTTCTTCTACACTTGCACTGAGAAGTGGTGGAAGTGACATATGATAATGTACCTCATTTTTTGTCCAACCAGCAGTCTAAAAGCCAACAATACTCAATTTAGTGTGTGTTACACAAGAACAAAAGGTTATCTACACATCTAAGAGGCTGGAGCAGTAACATATATAATATCTTTGTACTAAAATTGAATTTAACTACTAATTAATCAAAAGAACTGCTGTAAAACTCAGTTGATCGACTAATCTATTGTTATAACTCTGATTTTAGAAACTTTTTTTGTGCTTTTGTGTAATTAATTTGAAACAAAGCTCATTTACTCTTTTTTACACGTCTCATTTTTCTTTGTGTGTCGTCTTTTCAGTTGATACGTGAAGGATTTGTGTGTTGCTGTGTGTGTGTGTGTGAGCCTCTTCTCCCAGTTCAGCCCAGTGCTTCATACTGGGTGTTTGTGCAAGCTGAGGAGGCAGAGCAGAGCAGTGGCGATACCCATTCCACCCTCAGCTGTAGAGTGGCTCTGTGGTGGAAGAAATCCCTGCTACAAACTAAACATAGCGGCTAACATGTTGCTCAGAACCAGAGTTTGACTGATGGAAGTAAAAACAGCCATTACGCACAGTGTCACATTTTCACACCAGCTGATATGTTTGAATTTGACTTCTTGAATGCTTGTTCGCTGCTCCCCTCACTCCTCTCTGCTCTGTCATCACATCCTGCAGGATCCACACCGGCCACAAGATGGCGCCCAACGCCAGGAAGAGAGGAGGTGACGTCAATGTCTGCTGAAGGTCATCAGTCCAACTGAGTGATTCAGTTTGTTTTAAAAGCTGTGGTAAACTTGAAGTATTTGTCATTGCAGAGAGGTCACTGTGTCCTTGTGTAAAAAAATAACTTATGTAGGTAGTAGTGCAGGATTTTATTTTATTTTTATTTATTGCATTTAAAGAAATAAGATAACAGTAATCCTGGAGGAACAGATCATAAAAAGAGAACAAGAAAATGACATAATTGAGGAAGTTTTCAGAAGTTTGTTTTAGTAAAGAAAGCGAGGACATTTAAAGTAGTTCTCCCCAAAGGTCAAGTAACATTACAGATTGACAATGTCACTAATAATAATAATAATACATTTTATTTATAATGCCCTTTTCATCAAAAGATCTCAAAGTGCTATAAGTTAAAAACAAATAAAGATAAAAAAAAAAGGAATGGAAGAGAATAAAAACAAGATGAGCAGTTATTTAAAAGGATTTAAACAAAAACATCTAAGGGGGACCAAAAGCTTTGCTAAAAAAGAAATGTCTTGAGACCTTTTTTAAAACAGTCAGTGGATTGTGGTGCCCTCAAGGTGTCAGGGAGGGCATTCCACAGATGTGGGGCAGCAGCACAGAAGGCCCTGTCTCCCATGGTCCTGAGTCTGGTTCTGGCTATTTGGAGGAGGTTTGAGTGGACTACAGGATAACAAACAATTTTACAGTTACTTTAAGACATTTACTGCACTGTATTTGTTTTCTTCTCTTTTGTTTTCTCAGAAGCACACTAACAAGAAGGGAGAACTTACAAAGCAGATGTAAGAGCTATAAATGATCCAGATTGTATGATGTGTTTGAACTGTGTATAATTAAATGTTGCTGTGACAGATATTTTGCTGGATATAACCATTACATTAAAAGCTTTTTTTTTTTATTTAATTTTATTTTTTAATTTTTTTAATGAAATTGTGTCAAAGTTTACAGAAGTTGAATGTTGCTCTGTTTGTGTCACTGGAATTAAAATATGTCTGAATTTAATGCAGACTGAGAACATTAATAAAGTCACATTTTATCTCATCATAATGTCTGTTGAATCGTTCAGTGATGGTGAGTGATGTAACTTGTTTAGGAGCAAGAATGCAAAAAAATAAAATAAAAACAGTAGAGACAGGGTCAGTATTTCCTCTAAGGAAACCATAAAGGAAATATGGCTACTGACAGTTGCTAAAGATAAATGTCAAATACAGTGTGCCAAAAATACCAGGATGTGCTACCACATCTGGTCCGATTTTGCAGTTTGCAAGTCAGCATGGCTCCACAGCTATTCTGACCCACAATCCTCTGCACACACAGCGGAAGACTGGCCTACATCACATCAACTGAGCCACAAACAGATGACAGCTCACTGACAGCTGTCAGAGGTCATGATGATGGATGACAGCGAATTCAAGTAACTGATGACCAGTTGAATAGCCCTAATAGGAATATTAAACGATTAAGTGGACAAAATAATCCAAAATAATACAAACAATAGGACATGACTATAAAAATAATTAACATAAATGCAAATGTAGCTTCACTTTTGCACATAGAAAATATTAGAATCTACAATCTGTGCAGTTATAGCTGAACTTTATTGCAGAGTAACAACAGCAGGTTGATCTTTGTCTCTGGCAAACTTTTTGTTGTGTGCATACTGCACACAACAAAAAGAAAAAGTATGCTATTGGGAACGCACCCCAGACTAACAGAACTACTGTTGTAGGAGCTACTGTTGCCACGGAAACGCGCAGTGACACCTGCTGATTGGTTTTCATGGTAACAGTCAGTGACACCTGCTGACCAGTGTTTCCATGGCAACACAACATGACAGATAGGAAACATGAGTCTCAGCTCTGAGTTAGCCCGGATGGTAATGTGGCTCATGTTTCAGGCTTCAAATGAGTCTGTTTGTTTGTGAATAACAAATTAGAAAAATCTAAGAGTAAAATCAGGAGGGGATGGTGCCATAAAGGGGGAGGCTTGTCAATTTGTTAAGCACTGGGGAGGGACTGAGGGAGGGGCATATAAATTTAAATGGTTGTATTTTGTATTTAACGTTTTAAAGAAAGCGTGCTTTCCAAACCTGCGGGCACGTTTTCACCATTTATCAGAGCCAGAAACTGTAAAAACAGAAGTCACTGTTGGATTTCCGACGGTCCTGGGACACATCATGTGGAACGAACGCTTCCATCAGGACTTTGTAAAAAAGGGTGAAATTGAAAACGCCTTGATAATGTAACACTTAGCAAACTAATTTGAGGATAGCGCGCTGTACCGAGTCCTACATAATTTTACAATTGTTATTATGCTTATTACTTTAATAACTATTACTTCTTTTCATATGTTATGCCATATGTTCTGTCTTGTGGGGGTTGTATATGTTTGTACAATTTCTTAAATGTTTAAAATCAATAAACATGTTTATAACAAAACAGACATCCAAACCTGAGTTTAAAAATAGTGATATTTAATCAAAATCATGTTATTCTACTTCTCATTCAAAAATAAACTGCTTGCACAAGAGTGAAAACTCTGGCTTTTTTTCTCCAGGATGTCATCTTTAACTTTTGGCTTTTCACTTTCAAACATGAAACGGTAAGTTATAATAATCAAATGACTTATTTATGGTGGAGGGAGGGTCACATTTTCTGCCAGTCACTCAGGGAGGCTCCAGGAAAAATATTGATAGCTTCTGAGAGGGTGGAAAAAAAGACGACCAGGCGCATGCAATCACATCAACGTCCACAGCAGGTCAGTGTTGGACCATACAAAGCAGAGCTCCTCTTCCTGAACAGTCAGAGCTTCAGCTGACAATACATTTTAACTATGATGAAAAGTTTACATGGAGAAAAAAAAATGTTGCAACACTTCTGTTAACCTGGATTTGAGCTGTTGCTCCACTGTGCTCTTAACAATAACCCCTAAATGCCTAAAATGAGCGATTCCACTGAAGGAAATCTTACAATCAAATCAACTATACATGAATTCTTTTTAAATACTGAATTACTGTCAAATTAATGTAACAGATCAAAGTATGGAGAGGCAGGTGAAATAAGGAGACGGAGACAGCGTCTGACAAAGGTCATACATCTATACATCATCCATGGAGTAATCTGTTAATGATTTACTTGATGACAAAATGTGAGATGCAGCATCTTTAAATGTTATTTAATGATCCACTACGACTGGCTCATCGTCACACAGCCCTCGACTCATCTGGAAAGACTCTCCACAACATCTGGGAACCTGGCTGCAGGGATTTGCTCCCACTCGGGAGCATTAGTGAGTGTGTTCCAGTTCGTGTTAAATGGGGTTGAGGTGGAGGCTGTGGGCAGGTCTGTCAAGTTGTTGCACAACAAACTCAGAAAACATTTCTTTATGGCCCTGGCTTTGTGCACGCAGGGCACTGTCATGTTGGAACAGTAAAGGTTGTTTCTTAAATTGTGTTAGAAGCACACTATTGTCTAAACTATTTTTGTGTGCTGTAGCATTCAAGGGACCCCAAAATCAAAAATATATATTTTTCCCTTTACCTGCAGTCCTGTTAATCAGTCTTGATTGTTTTGGTATGAGTCGTCAAGTGCTGAATTTATCAGCCGTACAGATGTTTGCCTTCTCTCCTATAATGGAGCTCTGCATCGATACTGGATCGTTGATCATTAAATCGACATAGGTAGGGGTGTTTGGATACTTTTGACCATTCCGTCTGTTTTGTACTGACAGAGACTGTGTATGTAGAGAGCAGAGACAGGAAGGAGTCACCGTTATAGAAGTCTAACCCAGTTGCAGCTGTCCAGTCTCATCATGCAGCAAACACACAAACACACAAACACACACCATTTAATGCACACACACACATACAATAGATTCACACCTCGTCACCAGCTCTGTTCACCTACATTGTTTCCTGAAGATTACTCATACTGATGCATTTACATGAACAAGATCTTCTCCATCTGAAAGGAGACAGAAGCAGCTAAAGAAATCTGCCATGTGTGTGTGTGTGTGTGTGTGTGTGTGTGCGTGTGGCTGTATTTACACAGACTGTAATGTTCTAACACTGACCCAGTTAAGACAACACTCAGCCATAAAAACAGCATCTTCTGATTACCTCGCCAAATATGGAATATGGTCTCTGCTGCATATTGTAATGTTGCTGTTGAAGCCATTCAAAGCGAAGTGGCTTTTTGCATTAAATGATTGACAAATTCTAGTTCAAGTCTTGTACTGTCAAATGCACCACGATCAGTGGGGCTGAAAAGGAAGATGACCACTTGAGGCTGACTCCAAAGCGAGTTGATCCCCACAGAGCCCCCGTGTTAAAATGCTCACGTTTACAGCACAAATAAATATGTTTACAGCCTGGTACAAAACTGTTTTGGTCTCTGGCTAATTTCCTTGTTAATGAGAACTGTACAGAGGTTGAATTTTCATATAACTCACCTCTTTAAATGTTATTAAAGCTTAAAGCTAGTCGCTTTGAGTGACAGGTGGGTGCCATCCGTTGACACATCGATACCTTGGCAAGACCATTAGTAAGGTAACATAACCATCATGTAACCCCAGTTTTGCAGAGTATAGGTGTAGCTGTCGCTGTTTCAGTGTTTATCAGTTCATGACAGTTAACTAACATTTTGGTCGCCTAAAAAAGTCTCATTCAGTGTCTGGCCGTACTAAAAGACCCTCTAAGGAGTTTAGTATTCAGCTTTTCTGGATAGTTCATTTAGTTTTAATGGTTTTAAGCCTATTTTTTTGCTAGTAAAATTTAGCATTAGCATTATCACAGGTAACCATAGCTGTACATGCACCATGCTACGCAAGCTAGCAGTTAGCATTAAGGTTAGCTTCACCTTCTCAATCAAATACTGGGTCCGTTCCGAATCGCATACTTTTTCTTTTGCTTTTAGCAGGTACTGCAGCTGTCCTTAAAAAGTACGATCAGTAAGATCACTCCAAAATTGTCACATACCATTCTCGGAACCCATCGGCTGTATTCGGCGTCTGACTTCCGGCAGACAGCGATACAGCCTCTGGGGGCAGACCCCCGATTTTTTGGCATTCCGGTTTGATTTGGGCGGAGGAGGCAAATTTCCGTTTCCGACTTCCGTTTATATATAAGTAAATATGCTGAACCATTGCGATGGATTCAGAGTTTGCAGTGATGCCAGTTATGTTCCGCCTCGCTAGTTCACCGCACGGACCGTTTAACCTGGCAACAACTGCAGCCGACTCAAACGTGATTGATCAATATCACACTACAAACAGCCTACAACCGGAAACCAGGGCTCTTCCGCTCTTCTTCCAGAGGCAAGATCTCCGGGGTTTGCCTACAGACTCTACATTCACTGAATGTAGAGTCTGTATATAGAGACTAGTCACATATTGACGTTTTGTCATGGACCTTCCATGTCCAGATAGGACGTGAAAGGTACCCTGAGTGTGTTGGTTGTTGATGTTCTGGGGCTCTGTGTCAAGTTCTGCCTGTTACATGCGTTGTCTCCTTTCAAAACACACATGCAACAAAAACTCGTGGTTAGGTTTATGAAAAAAGAACAGGGTTTGGCTTTATAATCTTATGGGACTCTCCTGGCTGAAAGTCAGTATTTGTTGGACCTGCCCATCCTACTTGGACTTTCGCTGCCTTAACTTTCGTTCTTGACCCACTGTGTTTCCCCCGCCGCTGCCGAGTGCTGTTAAACTACAATGGTGACCATCTGCGAATCATGCCAACGTTAAAGAACCGCTTTTTTCGTCAGTGTCTGACGCCACAAGTCACTGCCCAAGCACGATTTCTGAGTAATACTGTTGCAGACGCACACAATCAGGACATACTACTTCCTCATAACGTTACACCCTGAAATTTGACCCTTTTACTCATATATCCGTGACCACAGAGGTAAAACAAAACGTCATTCCCTGAGCTCGACAGAGACAGAAATCAGCTCTGATGTTGTTACTTTGCAGTAAGTGCATACATTGTTGATTCTAACATATTCACAATAGTAAAACAACAGAAACAATACATTTCTCTGTCATTG